TTGGCTTCCGGCTGTGCGTGCACAGCCGGCCCAAATTCAGTCCATAATCAATGAAAAATTTAATTTGGTGCCAATTAAACGTATAATTGTGTCATATATGTAGAAATTAAAATAAAATCACAAAAAAAATGCGCCCAAGTAAATAGTCTAAGATAACACTAAATTATAAAATAATGAGAAACCTTAGCAAAATGAAACCCACAATACGGAGAACAAGCATAAGGCCACAAGCAAAATAACATAAAAAGATATAAAACACAATAGAAAGGTAAACGCATATGACTGAAAGTTTGCCTCAAACTGAGATCTAGAATTTGGGCTTCGATCTTAGATGACATTGCTGAAGTGGTGTCATTTTGAGATGGCATAGGGGTTGCTGTGGAAGTAGAAAAATGAGACATTTTTTTTCCCTTCTCTCCTCGTTCGCCTAAAGTAGTTTGGAGATGTTTCTCAAGCTATGACTGCGCGTCGCAACGCGGCAAAATTAAAATTTATGTTTTCCTCAACCAACCTCTACTAGCTAGTAGTAGTGACAAGTAAGGGTCGATCCCACGAGGAGTGTGAATCGAATTGTGAATTTTTCGTATTAATTGAAATTATAAAATGCAATAAAAGAGGGGGAGGATTGATTTAATAACTAACCTAAAATCTACTGCAACAAATAAAATCTAAACAAAAGAAATAAAAAGAAAATATAATAAAATAAGAGAAACATCTAGTTCACCGTTCCGTCTACACCCTCGACTAACTCGTCTAATCAACTTTGGTATCAAATCTCGCTATCTTATGAAATTACTAGCCCTAGGCAACAACACGGTCTGTTACCCGAATTTTTCCTTATTTTTAATCAAACCGCGAGACGCTCTACGATTGGACCTGACTTCTTGTACAGTCTAGAAAATGCTTCTTAGATTTAATACAATCAGCCGTTTTACGCATTAGAGAAATAGGCTAGACTAAGTAGTGAACTCAACCGCATTCGTTCACTTAAATAGGTCGTGTTATCCCCGGTAGTTACTATCTTCCGGATACCACTTGCGAATTAAACACATCAACAATTACGGATTGAAGGCCTAATTCAGGTGTAGATATGTAAAGCCTAATCTAGGTGATCAATCTAAATAAGACTCAACATATCATGGTTAATTATTCAAAATAACACAAAAAATTCCAAAAAGATAACTCAATAATCAACCATAGAAATCAATCAAACATCGTCAAGTCGTAGGGTTCAACTTCCCCGGAACTAGAAATAAAACTTCTCTAACATAATAAATACGAAATAAAGAAGAAAGAGAAGAATAAGATTATCCTTCTCGTGTGCAGGTGCGGCCTCCCTCCGTGTTCGATCGGGTTCTCTCGTCTTCTTCTA